ATCTTCCTGTTCTTTCCCAAGCTCCTTTTCTGAGTCATCCTCCTGACCTCTTTTGTTCTTTACTTCTTAGTATCTATGGTGATCTTAGAATATGTATGTAAGGAGACACCAGACTAGCAGGAAGCAGCCCAAAGCCCCTCAACTAGAGGGGAAAAAAAAAGCTAATTCCCAGTGTGGTGGATTGAATGAAAATGGCCCGCATAGACTCATAGGGAGTGGCATTATTGGAGGTGTGGCCTTGTTGGAGGAAGTGTGTCATTGGGGGCGGGCTTTGAGGCTTCAGAAGCTCAAGCCAGGCCCAGTGGCTCACCCTCTCTTCCCGCTGCCTACAGGTCCAGATGTAGAACTCTCAGCTGTCTCTCTAACACCATGTCTGCCTGTGTGCCGCCATGCTTCCCACCATTCTGCTAATGGACTAAACCTCTGAATAGTAAGCCAGCCCAATTAAATGCTTTCCTTTTTAAGAGTTGCCATGGTCATGGTGTTTCTTCACAGCAATATAAAATCCTAACTAAGACATTCAGTATAAATATATGTGGAGTGCTATTTACTTTTGAAGTTGTTGTTCCAAAAATAAGTATATTATTTAAAAACAAACCACACATGGATAGTTAGATGGATTTCAGAATGATAAATATGTATGATAAGATTTATATTTTAAAATCACATATCCATAGACTGTATAGGAAAACTCAGAAAATGTGCAATTAATTCTAGTTTTCTCCTTCTCCCCCTGCTCTGGCACTGGGAATTGGACTTAGGGCCTTATTGACAAGAGGCAAGCTCACTGAGTTATATCCTTGATGTTTAGTTGTGAGCCAACCTTTAATAGCTGAGCCATCTCTCCAGCCCAATTCCCATCTTTCTAATGAGCTCCTAAGAGCGATTGTCCCTAGGGAGGGCTGATGGGAGATAACTTTTCAATTTTAAAAAACAGGATATTTTCACACCTTGCTTGGAAATTAAAAATGAGTCACCTCAGCAGGCCCTACTAACTGCCACCTGTTATGGGTTGAATGTGAAGTGTTCCCTTCAGACTCAGACTTGTCGCCCCGTTTGTAGGGCTATTTGGGGAAGGTTCTAGAGACTTTAGGAAGTGAAATCTTTTTGGAGGAAGCACATGGCCGGGAGCAAGCCTTTGAAGGCTGTGCCTGGTTCCCAGTTCCTTCCTCACTGTCCACTTCCTCTGTGTTACTAGGTGAAAAGTCTCCTGTCACACCCTTCCACCACCATGACGTCCTGCCCACGAGCCCATGGGCAAGTGACCATGGACTGAGCCCTCCGAAACCACGAGCCCAGACATAGAAGAAGAGGAACTGGAAAAAGAACCAATGCTAAGTTTCAGTGGCTTACTTCAGTAAAAGTTGGTTTCTTGCTCAGGTCACAATCTAGAGGAGAGATAGAGTGGCCTGTGTCACAGAATCATTAAAAGATCAGTAGTGGGTCTAGAGAGATGGCTCAGCAGTTAAGAGCACTTGCTGCTTTTGCAGAGGACCTGGGGTCAGTTCCCAGGACACACATGGACGCTCACAACTTCAGTTGCCGGGAGTCTGATGCCCTCTGAGGGCACCAGGTACGCATGTGATGCAGAGGCATACATGCAGGAGAAACACCTATACACATACATAAAATAAATACAATCTTAAAAAAAAGGCAATGGCTCCATTGCTCCTCAAGTCCTTGAGTTCTCCACTGGATGGTCTGTGTGGAGAAGGAAGCTTGAGAACAGGAGGACCAGCAATGTCCAGCCGCATCGTTACAGCCCTGTCTGATTTACAAGGTATCATAAACTTATTTTATAAAATTTATTTCTTGCTTTCATCTCAGTACCCTTTTAGCTTTGATTTAAACAGGTTTCATTTTATTCACTTTCTTACAAATAATTCTTTTTCTATCTCAGAAAATTACATCCATATTTGGGGTTTTGGTAAACGAGCTACCTACATATAAATAGTCAATTTCACAGAGACAGAGAGTCCAGTGGAGGGGTTACCAGGGGGTGGGGGAATTTTTGTGAGTCATTGCCCAGGCCACAGTGGGCTCTTCAGGGATGTGATTGCCAGAGATCTCCCTATGCTTCTCTTAGTAACCCCAGTACACTCACTGATTCACCTAGCTCCACTTCAGTGGAATTATTTCTTTGCTCTGTCCATCAGTACCATAGGCCAGGTGAATATATGTTTTTCCACATCTCCCCCAAGAAAAATAACGCAACATAGGAGAGAGGGTTAGACCAAGAAGAGTCCGTTTCTGCCAGGGTAACGTGACTATTGATATTTACTTGCCTGGGTATTAAGAGTCTAATTGCCTATGATCTACTTTGCCTAAGCCTCTGCCAAAGACATCTGGCAACTTAGCCTGTCTCGGGTTTCTAAACATAGTGCTCATCTGTCTTACATGCAGATGGGATGTTCCAATATTCTTTGTTGTGACATGTCTTTGTGTCACGGCCACAGCAGATGCTCCCAGGTCTCCTTCCACCCTTAGCATTTGTTTGCCGTATTTGATTCCGTTTTGTTTTGAAGGAGAACTCGGATGGGCTCACATGTCTGGGGAAAGATGATAAGAGCAGCGATGGGAACGCCCTCAGCTCAGGTATCATTCTGCAAACATACGACCCAAGGGGAAAGACGAGGAGTTTTAAGCTTGAGTTTTGCTCTTCTCAAATACCATACAGGTAGTTTAAAAAAATCCATAGATCAGTTGATAGTAAAAACATAGTTGGCTATTTTTTTTTTTGTCATGCTAGGAATCACAAAGTTTGAAAAATGGCAATTAGCTTTTAAGAAGGTCTCAGGGTGCCATCTGTCTCCCATCACCTGAGCAAGAATCTATGAACTTGAGACCCTATCTCAAAAACAACAACAAAAATCCACGAAGCTTGTGAATTATTGGGGGGTAAGAATGGTGGGAGTGGGAGGGTGAGCAGACACTCTCCACCCCATTGACGGGAGAGTAAACTGCTATGGAAGGTGGCATTATTTACCAAATGCACCTGTCCTCTGACTCAGCAGCATTCACTGCAGCATAACTTGTTGTGGAAAAATACCCTTGCACCCTTGCCCTGGGACTAAACACTAGACACGGGTAACACTGGTCGCCTCTGGGAGCGACAGAGATGGAAGGACTTTTCATGTTTCTCCTTATACTGTATCACCTATCTCCACCACTTCTCCTAAAGCAGACAGGAAACATACTAAGTTTTCTGGTGGTAAAGGGTACACTGAGAGGATTTTAAATTTGGCTTTATTTTTTTATGGTGGAATTGGGGATTGAACCCAGGACTTTACACATGCCAGGTAACTGCTGTACATTGAACCACATTTGTAGCACATTAATAAAACAATACTTTACAAAAATAATTATTTTTTTTTAATGTATTTGGGTGTTTTGTCTGCATATATGTCTGTACACCATATGTCTGTGCCTGATACCCTTGATGGAGAGGAGAGGGTGTCATATTCCCCGGCTGTGGAATTGTTGGGAGGCCCTCCTGGTTAGAGGTTGCAGTCTGCCATGGCCTGGCAGCTCCCTCCAATCTCAGCAACATGGAGGACTCCCTCTGCCTGGAGGGGGCTTCCTGCTGTCTTTCTGATCGTATTTGGAGAATGTCTCTGGGCCCGGATCCCTGACTTACAGAGGAGGTAAGTGTGACCCTTGACAGTTCCCTGCAGAAGCTGTCCCCTGCTGCCCGTATGGTAATTACACAGAGTGCTGGGAGCACTATGATAGGACTGTGCTTCCACGGGTGATAACTAAGACTTGTACTAGGCGTTTTATGATAGGAACCTGCCGTTTGGTGCAAATTAGGTGATGCTCCGGCCACCGTCCCCATTCTTTATTCCTCACCCTGGAATAAAGCTGCGTGGTCTCACTGAAGCTGTCTTGTGGAAGGCTATTTCCATCATGTTCACAGGCCAGCCAAAGCTTTCTCTTGTTGCTTCTGCCCCTCTGTCCTTGTAGACTGGTGGCCAATGGACCATGAGGGGAAAAAAAAAAAAGGGGACTCCACGTGGAGTTACAGATGGTTGTGAGTCTGTAGGTAGGTGCTGGGATTAAACCCATGTTCTCTGGAAAAACAGCCAATGCTCTTAACCCATCAGCCATCTCTCCAGGCCCAAAGGGAGATGAGCAGAAGCATTCATGCTTTCCTCTTTTTTTTTTTTGAGCAGTGTCTCACTATGCAGCTTTCCTGGAACTATGTAGATGAGGCTGGCCTTGAACTCAGAGATCCTTCCATCTCTGGCTTCCAAGTTCTGGGATTAAAGGTATGTACCACCATGCCCAGCCCCTTCCTAAGGTTTTAAAATTTACTAATATTTATGTGGCTAGTGTGTGTGTGTACGTGTGTACACACACTCATGCCATGGTGTGTATATGGAGGTCAGAAGACAATCTGAAGAGTCAGTTCTTTCTTTCCACCTTTGCATGGGTGTCAGGGACCAAACTCACGTTGTCAGGCCTGTGTGGCAAGCGCTTGACCCACTGAGACACCTCCGTGGCCCACTAGTCATTTTTTTTTTTTTTTTTTAATACATAGGGAATTTGAGAAAATCCTAGCTGAACGAAAAGTCACTAGTCACTACAGGAATTGTTCAAGAGAAAGTCACTCAGCAGAACTTTCGTTCCCTCTCATCTTTTCTTCCAAGGAGCATGGAGGCAAGAGGACCAGGAGTTCTAGATCATTTTCAGCTATACAGCACGTTCAAAGCCATCCTAGCCTACATGAGACCTTGTCTCAAAACAAACAGAAGTCATGGGTTGGAGACATGGTTAGGTGGTTACGAGCACTTGTTCTTACACAGGACTTGGATTCAGTTCCCAGCAACCCTATCAGGCAGCTTACAACCACCTGTAACTCCAGTTCCAGGGGACCCCTGTGACTCTTCTGGCCTCCACAGGAGCCAGGCATGTGTGTGGTACACATATATACACACAGGCGCTCACACCAAACTTTTAAAACCGTGTGTTTATATAAATAAAGCCATGAAGCCGAGGAGTAGGTAGGACAGACAGTTTATTGTGGCTTGGTTGTAGTGGAACACACACAACTCCTTGACGTGTACAATTGTTTGGATGTTACTGTTGCTTTGCTGGAGACCACAGTGTGATGTCTTAGGTCTGCAGTCTTCTGTTAACCTGGTCAATGGTTACCTATTTTACAGTTCAAGTTAGGAAAGTCAGGGAAATCTGGTTGTGACACCCTAAATCAAGGGCTGTGACTTACAACCCAGTTATGTAAAGTGCTTATTCTCAGTGCAAAAAAGGTCAGCCTTGAGTGTAAGCGGACACCAGGCAATGGGGGTTCTTAGGAGCTGGGTGGTGTGTTCTATGACTCAAGTTAGGGAAAGCCACTGTCCGACTGCACCCTTAGGAGATCTAGTATTATACTTCAGCCTTTCTTCTCCAATAGGACCAAAGCTTTGACTCCGACAGATGTCCATGAACAGTTGTTTATTAAGAAAAACTTGGTTCAGAAGAAATGAAGAGGGCTTCTAAGCACCAGAGACACTGAGTTCAGTTTCCAGTTCCTGTTGCCTTGGCAGTAAAGGGGAGACCAACAGGCTGAGGTCTGCCTGTGGGAGACTTGGGGCTCCAAGCCTTTCTTTAGGGCTCTCATTTGCAAATCAATCACTGAATGACAGACCCTTCCTCTCGAGCACTGACTCATCTCAGGTGGGAAGATAAGCAGATGCTTATTAAACCCTCGTCTAGTTCCCCACCATTGGATGGGACTTATTTCTTACCCCCTTGTTCTGACTCATCTACAGACTTAACTGTGATGTGAACCCCATTCTCTTAGTGTACCGCTGCCTCAATGAGCCAGGTCTTTGCATATTCCAGCCCATGGTCCTCAGGAGACTGAAGGGAAGCATAAGGGATAGAGAAATGGTTTCTTAACTAATTCAAGAGGGACAAACAGGAACGGAACTCAAATAGGCAGAGTCCGTCCACTCATTCACCCCCAGGATCCTGGCTACCATCTCTTTCCCTAGACTCTGAAAGAAAAAGTCATGTGTCCTTACCCATCCATCCTGCATCAGGGATACTGATAAGAGCCAGCTTGGCTTTTTCCTCCCCTCTGGATGAAGGGGATGGGGCCTGGCCTCCGCGTCCCCAGATCTGACCATTGATGCCTGTCACCAGAGCTTTCAGATGCCTGCACCTGAAAACCTTGTGCTTGTGAGAGATGCTGCCGGGAAAGCTGTCACACTCCACGGGCACACTCCCAGTGCTGTCTCGGGATTGTGGGAAGGGAGAAGAGGCGATCTTTTTGGCATTGCTTTGTAATTCTCTGTTAAGCCCTCCCGTGAAGAGGGGCTGCTAAAGCGTGTCTGCACAGTAGGGAGGAACTGTGGACAAAAAGAATGACCTGGGCCAAGAACCAAAGACGCAGGGAAGGTTTTCAGACCAGCGGAAAGTAGAAAGTAAAGTGCCTCTCTTCAACAGAGGAGTCTCATTTGTTCAGAAAATGCTTGGGCGTAAACATGAGTGCACACACGCGCACACACACACAGTCACTCTGAGGTAGAAAGATGGCTATCTCCAGACAAACACAGATTCTACAACTTTACACGGCACTTGTGTGAAGGGACCTGCTTTTGCCCACACAGGCAAGTAGGGTCCATCCTGCTCCCTCCAACCTAGGGCAGGGCCAGAAGTTCCACTCCACAGGAAGACGGAGATGGAGGGCATTGTGTGGCATTGCGCCTGTGGCCGTAGCTCCCAGGCTGCGGTCTCTGGGTTCTGCTGCCCAGGGTCACTTCCTGGAGCCTGGGCCATGGGCACCACGGGAGTGGCTTGTCAGAAGCCACTGGGCACAGATGTCCTGCACTACAGAATCTCCACTGCTTTTGGCAGCCTGCTGCACCTGCTGGACGAGGGCGGCGGCCTGTGAGTGTTCTTGCTTCACGGCGATCAGGTAGGCAGACCGCAGTTTGCAACAAGTCAGGTAGGCTCGGACCTAGTGATTGAGTACGAGACAGTTGAGAAGAAATGATCCCCAAAGGAAGATCAACAGACATAGAGAGCACCGGAAAGATCTGGCAGATAAACAATACTTCTCCCTCATCAAACTGATAGCTAGGTCCTCGCTTTTTATTGTTTCCCAACAACTTGAAATGTCCTAGACATCAAGCTATTGCATGGCTGTATGTTCTGATGTAAGGAGCTACCGCAGATAGAACAGGAATTGAAAAACCAAGGTGGACAGGCAGAGTCGGGTCTCTATTCCTCCTGTGTCTTTTTGGAATCAGAACTAGCATTGCCAGTCTCCACAGGTTGTGATTTTATAGTTGTCTGTTGATTAATTGATATTCTTGACTAGACAACAAGGTCCATGAGAGCAAGAACAGTATATTCTTTGTGCCTTGCATGTAGTCAGTGTTCAATAAATGGGCCTCACATGGGTGAATGGATGAGTAAATAATCATACCTTCCTTTTGCAAAGGGGTTACAGATTCCCCCTTTCTGTTTTGAACATGCCGAATTAAAACAAAAACAAAACAAACAAAAAAACCTTTAGGTGGGTGGTCCTGGGGACTGCACCTGGGCCCCATGCATGCTAGGAGGCTATTCTACCATTGAGCTATTTCCAGTCTGGAACTGAAAGCCCACTGACAGATAACATGGGGGGGGGGATGGATACCCACAATTGGAAAAGGTCTAGTTAAGATACCACCCCAGTGAGACTTGAATGGACTCCTCTTGTTTGGGGCCAAGGCAGCTCAGTGTGGGGGATACTATATCTCCACACTCTCCATCTCACGACTCAAGAACCCTTTCTCCTTGGCTCTGGTTTCACCAGGCCTTCATCACTCTGGGCGAGCACTAACAAGGTCTCCAAAAGCTGACCTCTCACGGGCAGCTTCCCTTCTGCTGAAACAGTTATTTCTCAGTCGGAGACATTTTTTGCTGTGTATAAAATGCTTCATCTTTTTGGGATGTGTGTGGGTCTTGCTAACCAGTCTCTCTGGATTGATTTCAGATAATTTCTCAGTACAGAAAATATCTGGTGTGTTGTGAGCTCACTGAAGCAATTGGGTACTGCTGTTGGGGGACAGGTAGGTCACCCTAGGGAGTGAGCCCTCATTTAGCATTCAAGAGAATGCTATTGCTAGAATCTAGAATAAAAAAATGGATCAAACCAGTGTTTGGCAAGACCTGTGCCCTGAGGTCCTGAAAGTACCTTAGAATAGTTGCTTAGAGAAACAACTGTCTCTCTTGACTCCTGGGTTCTCATTCAGATTGTACAAAAGTAACTGTTGTTTTGGAATGTGGGAATTTCATCCTTTCCAAGGACCTCACTGGTATGTTGTACAAATGGTGAAGAAATGTTTAGAAGATGCTCTCCTTAGGATCTAGACTAGAAAAAAAAATGGTCAGCAGGTTCTGCCTGGGGCCTGACGAGGCTACAGTGGAGCAGCGCCGTGGTTGTGGAAGAAGCCATTGCCTGACACTAGTTTTCATCCCAAGGGACTCCACAGCTGGAAAATTTGTCTCCTGATGGCCAGCTGGTCTGGCTTTGGTTTTTCAGGACCCTTCTAGCCCGGAGGCCTTCCTGAAGATGGCAGGATGATGGCTCCCACGGCTAGCCACAGTCAGTGACACTGATGAGGATAAACTGGCTGACACTTCTCACAGAGGTAATGTAGAACAAAAGGTCCAGTCATTGCCCAAACAGGGAAGAGTTCTTGGGCCCCGAGGGAGCGCTGTCCTCCAAAGGGCTGAGTGGATGTTTTGGTTTGAATGTGAAATACACCTCACAGGGTCATGTGGTGGAACAATTGGTTTGTAACTGGTGGTGCCATTTAGAAGGTTGTGGCACCTTTGGAAGGTGGACCCTTGCTGGAGGAAATGGTCACCTGGGGTGGGTATTGCCATTTTAGGATCCCTGGTCTCTCTCTGCTTTCTATCTTTTTTTAAACACAGACAGGGTTTCTCTGTGTAGCTTTGCCTGTCCTGGAACTCGCTCTATAGACCAGGCAGGCCTTGAACTCACAGAGATCCACCTACCTGTCCCTCCTGAGTGCTGGGACTAAAGGTGTGTGCTAAGACCACCCAGCCTTTCTGTTTTCTACCTCTGGGTGCAATGTGAGCAGCCAGCCGCCACCTCTTGCCACTTTTCCTTCCCCAGTACAATGGACTTTATCCCTTAAACTCTAAGTTGGAAGACATCTTTCCTCCTTAAATTGTTTCTTGTTAAGTATACAGTGGGTTTTTCTTATTGCACTCTTTTTCCCTCCAGAATAAGGTTTCCCTCATACAGTCAGACAGCCTGAAGATGGAACTGAGATTGCCTATGGCTATCTGACGAGACGTCAGAATAACACGGAGATTCAAAAATAGTCTCAGGGATAAAGAATTGGGAAGGCAAAGGCTTGGGCAGTCAGTGTTCATCTGCCTCTCTCTATCCCTCTGGAGCTTTTAAAGTACCGTCTAGGTCCTGGATAGCAAAGAAACTGAAGCACAGGACTGTGGGGGGCAAGGGGAGCCTCCGTGCATCCATTCAGTAAATCACCAGGGCAGGAGACACTTGGGGCCAGGAGACACTTCTGCTCACCTTGTTGTCATCGCTGTGTATGGCCTGGATCAGTCCCTCCAGCTCCTGTGTACGACAGAGACATAGATAGCAGCTGTGGAAGGCAGAAGAACCTCCCACCTGGGAGCCTGGGCTCTATCCGGTCCAAGGCGGGGTTGCCTGCTTGATCCTTCTCACTACCTCAATTCCCACTATAAGAATAAGGAGTGAAGGCTAATGACAATACCATGCTTGGGATTGGGGCAGAAGGAACAACATCCTAAGAGGCCCATGCTGAGCTTTCACAAGTGGATGTGGTTCTGTTCACCCCACAAGCATGTCACAGGGAACAGATGTGCAGGCAGCGTGCTTCAAGGGCCACCCTAATCTATCTCATCAGAATGCAGACATTTCCAAGTACACACTATTGGACAAGAGCATGCCGAGGGATGCCTTCTGGAGACAGACATCAAAATCAGGACCTCTACCGAGGGGGAGAGTTGTTAAGAGACCATGAGTGCAGAGAGTCAGAGAGAGAGAAATGGATCTTGCAGTGAGGAGGAGGATGGGATGATCCTGAAGCAGACAGTGGACCCGAGAGGTCCAGGAGTGAGCGCACCTGCGGCGGGATTCTCTTGAAGGCTTCCAGGCAGTTGAGGAGGATGGTGTCGCCGTCGCTTTTGGCTGCCATGCCCGACTCGCTGACACACTTGAGCAGCTGCCGGATCTCGCCGTATTTCTCCCTCTCCACCAGCTGCCTCGCGGCTCTGCAGTAGGTTGCGGCAGCATCCAGCTGGAAGTCCTAGGACAGACAGCACAGGGGATGGTGGGCTCGGGGAGGCGGGAGGCGCCCACAGTGGGAAGTGACCGCGGTCACAGCAGGGAATGCAAACATAACAAAAAGGCGAAAGCAAGAAAGGCTCTTTCTGGAGTCAGGCAAACACTTCAGAAGTGAGTATAAAATCCGCCTCCTCAGTATGCGAAATGGTGCATCCTACTTGCTTCCAGGGGCCTTTCTTTCCTTCAGGACAGGGTCAAGGCTGGACTTCAGTGCCTGATTTTCCTGTCCCCACTTCCCAAACACTGAGATTCCAAGGTGCACCACCATGCCTGGCTCCATGGACTCTCAGAGATGTTCTACTTCCTTCCTAAGACCAGGTCTCTCTCCCTTGACTCAACTTTCTCTGAGAAATGGGGCATGGAGCTGGTGTTTGTCTGTTAAGAGCTGTACAAGTGTTGAAACAGATCATCAAGACTCACTGCTGAAACCTGTCAGATAAATGCCTTAAACCCAGTCTTGATTAGCCCTTATGCCACAGGACTACTCCTTCTGGACATGTTCTGCTGAGCAGATGAGTGACATTTCTGCAGTAAACCAGTTGTGGGGAGCCGTCTTACGTGTGCTCCTTGACACCTTTTGAAATGCTAAGGTTGGCTTTTGGCACAGTGGCACAGACTCTGGCATCTGACCCAGTTCTGATTTCCTCCTTAACGCACATGTAAATCTGCTCTTCCTGGGACAAGAATCAGCCTTTCCCAGAAACGTCAGGTGTGGGTTCCCTTGCCATACTCTTAAATAATACACCATACCTGCAGAACACGGAACGCAATTCCAAATCCATCTTCCACATTTTTCCCTCCCAGCATAACCTGGAGAGACAGGGAGATATGCTTAAAGGAATCATAATTTTTTTAAAAAAGATTTATTTATTTATTTATCTATTTATTTATTTATTTATTTATTTATTTATTTATTTATTTATTTATTTATTATAAATAATAATTCTGTCTGGAAGCATGTCTGCACACCAGAAGAAGGCACCAGATCTCATTACAGATGGTTGTGAGCCACCATGTGGGTGCTGGGAATTGAACTCAGGACCTCTGGAAGAGCAGCCAGTGCTCTCAACCTCTGAGCCATCTCTCCAGCCCCAGGAATCATAATTATTAAAATAACTTCTCAATAAAAAAAATCAGGGTCTCTATTTATCTTTATCATCATCATCATCATCATCACTATTATCATCACCACCACCACCACCACCATCACCATCATCAAGTTTTTGTGGAGACAGGGTCTCCCTACACAGCTCTGGCTGGTTTAGAACTCACTATGTAGATCCACTGTGAATTCAATTCATAGTGATTCTTTTACCTCTGCTTCCCTAGTGCTGGGATTACAGATATGAGCCAACACGCCAATGGATTTATTCAGTTATTAAATACATGTTGAGACTTTACTGAGCATCCAGGCACCAGAGATACAAGTGACCCAATGGACTCTATTTCCCACCCGAGGCACGCATTTCAGTGGGGAGGAAGCCACCAAACAAACAACTGAAAAAATCAGATCATTACAACTGGGCTAGGCATTCTGGAAGATGCGAGCAGTCTGTCAGAGAAACACTACATGTACCTTGCAGGCCACTTCCATTTTCATGGGGTTATTTCCAAAGAGTGTTGGCAGAGGCAAAGCGGTGATCTGAGAAGTCCCAGCACTTTCACACCGATGTAAGAATCTGGTCACTTCCATCTGCAGCTGAAGCGTATTCATATGCCTACGGGGACAGGACGGGCATGGTCTAGCCTCATCAGGCTCTCAGAGGAGTGGGTATCTGGGGCTGGGTGACTGGTTCATAAGAAGATGGCAACGGAAAGACCAAAGAAATGGCATGAAGGGAAGAGGCTTGAAATACCCTCCCTCCAAACAGCTATGGTAGACAGAAAGAAAGACCACCCCCCCCCCAGACATACAATAGTTAGGGCGCATTGTGGGACTGGACAAAGTTCCGGCACTGAATCAACAAATATTAACGGAGCATCTTCGTGGCAGGTACAGGAGTGGGAAGGGAGGCTTGGGCCCTGCTCTCCCAGCTCATGGGCTTGAGGAGAGATGGGCAGACACAGAGGAGGTTTAGTGACCGAGTCGAAGAAGACAACAAAGGAGAGTGGTGGAAGATTTGTTTATATTATTATTATTATTATTATTATTATTATTATTATTATTATTTTGAGACTAGATCTAGCTACACTGATGGCCTAAAATTCCCGACTCTCCTGCTTCAGCGTGTACTACCATGCCTGGCTAAGCATTTACTTTAGACAGTACGTTCTAAACAGACAAGCATAAAAGAAGAAAGCACTTGGGCTAAGGATGCTGGAGGCCAGTGGCTGACGTGTACCAAGGAAGAAAAGAGATCAGAGAGAGAGACTGCGCTGGACCTTTTTTGCTCATTGTAAGGAATGTGGGGTTCAGTCTGGCTGCGGCATGGGATCCTAATCCCTTCCTGCAGTAGCTTTCCAGGCTGTAGCAGACACTATCATCCAAGGCTGATGTCTTTTCATCTCCAGTGACACTCGGCCCCAGCCTTCCTGCCCTGCACGGACCGTCTCCCCAGCCTTGCCATACCTGGACACATGCCCTGCACGGACCGTCTCCCCAGCCTGGCCATACCTGGACACATGCCCTGCACGGACCGTCTCCCCAGCCTGGCCATACCTGGACACATGCCCTGCACGGACCGTCTCCCCAGCCTGGCCATACCTGGACACATGCCCTGCACGGACCGTCTCCCCAGCCTGGCCATACCTGGACACATGCCCTGCACGGACCGTCTCCCCAGCCTGGCCATACCTGGACACATCAGCAGCAGTCATCTTCTTCCGGAAGAAGGTGGCTTTCTTCCTTCCGGAGCTGCGGGATGTTTCTTGGAGGTAGATCTTCAGGTGGTCCTTGGCCTTAAGCAACCACGAGAGCTTCTCTCCCAGCTCTGTGTAGGACTTTGCTTTGTGACTGAAGAACCGAATACAGGTCATGGCAGCCCGGACTTGGTCCTAGGATTGGAAAGTGAATGTTAGGTTTAGGAGAGATCAGAGATGTCGGGGGTGGGATGGTAGGGTGGGTGTCATGAGCATCCTGATCTGATTCTCCCTGTTAAAGCAGACCTTCAGGTTCTGGCCCTGTGATGTCTTCATCCCTGGAGCCTCGCTTCCTCCCTGAGGAAGCACCAGTGCCTACCCTATCACCAGCTGAGCAGCATTTTACGTCAGTGATTACGGGGTCCCAGAGACCCTAAAGTGACTGCCTGTCAAGCTCTCGGGTGGGATATTATCTCACCACTGTGGAGGTCTCAAAGAAGATCCTTCCCATTCTCCATTAAGTACAAATTCAGTCTTAACTTGGCATCAGGTGATCTCATTTCTTTGAGATTACAGTACTGAGAATCTACAGAGAGGGGAAACTTGGTCCTCCTCCTTTCATTCATTTCTTCTAATTTTAGCTTTCCAGAACATCATTCATCTGTATCTTCTTCCTTCCTTTTTTCTTTCTTTTCCTCCTCTTCTAATTCTTGTTCACCTTGAGTTCTTTTTTAAAAATTATTTTTATTTTATTTTATTTTATGTGTATGAGTATTTTGCCTGCATGTATGTCTGTGCACCACATGCATGCCTGGCATCCGAGGAGGTCAGAAGAGTGGATCAGACCTTCAGGGACTGGAGTTATAGATGATTATGAGTCACCATGTGGGGGCTGGGAATTGAACCTGGATCCTCTGGAAGAGCAGGCAGTTCACTTAACCACCGAGCCATCTGTCCAGCCCGATATTTTTTGAATTATGAAGAGTGCTATTATGGACAAGATTAAAGTTTGGCTCTAAGTGTAGGATGAAAGTCTAAATATTTAACAATGTTGAAGAGCATGGTGGATTTATTTGCTCTCTGGGGTCAAATACCAAGGTCAGGGATCAAATGACGGTCCTGTTCCCTCATCTTGCACAGCCTCTCCTGCATGACAAAGCACCGGTGACTGGAATGGAAGGGAGGATGGGCTATTATCACTTACCTTCATAAACTGCTGCAGCTCATACAGAATGTGGTAGTAGTTCTTCTTCTGCAGATGCTGGCAGGCGGCCATCAGGTATGTTCCCCAGCTCTCCAAGGTTGGATCAATGGATTCCAGTAGGTTTTCCAAAGTGTGTAACTTCCCACTTTTATAGCTCGGCTGGAAGATGCCTTCGATGAAGACTTCTGGGGGGCTTTCCTGGAGCAGGAGAGAAGGAAGGTAAAAAGACACAAGTGTGGGACTGGTCCTGGCAGTCTAGGACTTGCTCTGAACCTCAGCATCCTCCTAGGGCAGTGCGTCCTCGCCTCTGCATCACAGGTTCCTGAGAACCCCCTCCAGTGATGCTCCACTCCTCCCTTGAATGGCTCTCTACACTCACTGCTCTTCTTCCTCTCCTAGGATTTATCCCAACATCATTTTTGCCCCCAAATGCAATTGGCGCTGCACGCTAGCTAATAAGGAATCTCTACACTGTTAATTCTATCAGTTTCAGTTCTTTGTGGTGTTGAGGATCAAATCCAGAGCCTCTCAAATGCTAGAAGACTGACTTACTGTTCTTAGTGGGCTCAGCAGCTTTTGACAGAATAAGGACTTCCTCCTCCTTGAAAAATTATAAGCTGAAAATTTTCATTTTTAATTGAGAAAAAATTTTCTTTACTAGAAACCAGCCTCTCGAGGTTTTCTTTTAACATCTCTGGCCACTCAATTTCCTTAGCTGGTTCCTCTCATCCCTGTAGGACGCTTTTTCTATCTCTACTTTCCTAGTGATGTTATCCAGTCTCGTGGCTTTCCATGCTGTGTGTGATGATATCCACACCTTGATCTCCAGCCTGCTCATCTCCCTGGACTTCCTAAACTGCATCTCCTGTGGGACCCAGCTGCCTCTCAACATGACTTCCCACAAAGCCAACAAATCCAACACACAAAAACTGCATTCTTGATTGTTCTCCAAAACCTGCTCCTCCCACACTCTCCCCTTTCTCAGTCATGATGCCATCCTTCCAGGAGCTCAGGTCAAAAGTCTCAGGACCATTTTTCTCCTCAAACTCTGATATAAAATACATCAGCAAGGTCTACCATTGAAGCACACGCAGAAGCTGCCTGGTGATATTTTATTTGTACTGAAATATGATTTTAATTGTATGTTAATAAATAAAGTTGCCCTGGGGTCAGAGCTATTAGAGCCATAGCAAGAGCGTGGTGGTTAGAAGAGCTAGGTAGATTTCTGTGTGTTCAGGGATACAGCCAGTATTGGAGACATACGCCTTTAAGACCTGGAGGGCGGTACTTACAGGCAGTGACGAGGCAGTCATGTGGTTGGGTTTACAACCAATGAGAAGGCAGAACAGAAAGACTATTTAAAGACAGACAAACGGGAAGAAGTTCTCTCTCGGGGAAGCTAGGAGCACTGCAGGAGGTAAGATTTTATCTCTGAGCTCTGACCTCTCGGCTTTCTCTTTTACATTGGCTCTGTGTTTCTTATTTTAATAAGACGATTGGTTACATCTACAGCTGCCCACGTCTCACACCCACAAGGTGACTCACACCACCGTCACGCTCACCTGGATTATCGAAAGAGCCTTCTCCATGCTCTACCATCTCCCACTCTGTCTCTTCCACAGAAAGTCAACAAATGCATTTTGTTGACCCCTGAGTCAGATGAAGTTACTCTTCTGTTCACGATCTCTAGTGATCGTGTTTCTCATGAACTATACAGGCCAGGTCCTCACAGTGTCTACATATACTACATGATTTAGCTATTGTCCTCCCAATGGTACCTGGCGCTACCCTGTCCCCTGGCTTCAGCCACGCTGACCTCTGTATTTGCCACTTCCTCTGCCTAGAGCAGAATTCCTCCAGTTGTTCTTGTGTCTTTCAGCCCTTTACTCAGATGCCACCTCCTCTGGGCACCTCATATAGTATTTTATAACCCTACTCTTCGTCTGCCTCCTCCGCTGCCCTGTCTCCTCTCCACCTTTACGCCTCTGCCCTCTTCTGCCTCCCTCTCTTCTTTCATGCTCTTCCTCCTCTTCCTCTTTTGATACAGGGCCTTTCTACACAGTCCTGACTGTCCTGGAACTTGAAATATAGACCAGGCTGGCCTTGAACTCACAAAACTCTGCCTGACTCTGCCTCCCAAGTGTGTACTCCTGTTCTATGGATGTTTAACCTCTGTTATACTTGAAAGGATGAACAGAATTTCTCCCAAGAAAACAAGGAGGGGCAGGGCATTCTGAATAGATGGAACAGTGCATGAAGACTAATAAAGATAATAATGTTGACATTTTGGTGAGTCTGGAATACGGAGTATCAATAGCATTTGTGATAAAAAAAAATCAGAAACCTGGGAGATGGATCTTGAGGTCCAGCTGCATGCTAAGGAGTTGGCTTTCACCCTAATGATTTGCGAAGGCCCTTTCTTTAGGGAGAGGGTGTGATGTGCAGGAAGTTCACACGGAGGGCAGTGTGACAGGAAAAGGAACACACAGAAACGCTACACACAGTAGGTGCTCAAGTGTCATTTTCGGGGCATTCTTCTTTCTGCACCCCTATTTGCATGAGGACAGAGGTGGGGCTCGTGAACAAGTTCGAGGGTAGCTGATGACGGGGACAAGAGAGGAGGCTTCCTTCCTGGCTTTGTCAACTGCAAAGCAAGGGCAGCGCTGCCGTCAGCTTCCACTCCGGCAACAGATAAGCAGCTTACCTCCGGCTGCACTTATCCAAGGGAACAGGACCTGATACTTTACACTCTCAGTCTGTGCCTGGTAGAAACATCTTTACTTCTCAACTCACGTGGAAAGGGAGGGAAAGGGAATATTAAACTCCAAATAATCAGACTCATTCAATACAGTTCTTAAGACATGCTTAGCAGCTGAGACACAGTAGTAGCCACGCAACAGTCTCCCCTTCACTGTCCTGTAAGGGTCTGATTATGATGCTGGATTTCTCTTGGAGTCATCTAGAAGAAGTGTCTATTTGTAAACTATTGTTGGATGCTGTTTCTGATTTAGTATGGCTGAACAACGTTAGCCTGGTAAGCTCCTTCAGTTTCCTATGGAATTTGGTAAATATCAGTCACCTTGTCAGAAGGTTACCATTGGAATGTTGAGATAAAAAAGGAATTCCAGGGCTGGAGAGATGGCTGAGAGGGTAAGAGGTCTTGTTATGCAACCTGACCACTGACTTTGGTCCTTGGAACCATGCAATAAGCAGGCGCGTGTATCTGTAAGCTCGGGACCCCTAAGGAGAGATGGGAGGCAGACACTGAAAGAAGCTTCTGGGCCAGCTAGCACTGCAGAACAGTACAGAGACAAGACTCCCCGCTTCAAAGGTGGAAACTGACTTCTGGAAGTTATCTTCTGACCACCACATGCACCATGGCCCCTGTGTACAGACTCACTCTCTCCCCCTCCCTTTAGATAAGTAAACAAAAGGGGGATGGCTGAGCAAGTAATGCTCTTGGTGATCTTGCCTCCAGTGGGAGGAGGCAGGGGAGTGAGAGAAAAACAAGGAGAGGCCATGCTGCTTCCTCACGTACACGTGTGGGGGGCTCATCTCTGTAACGGCTCTCGGTACACGCTCTCCTAGGCCAGGCGGAAACCAAGAGGTTCAGCAATGTGCCTGAGATTCCACGAGACTCCCACTGAGTGACCAGGCTGATTGTCTCACTGTGCTCTACGCTGTGGGGGAAGGGATGGATTTGCTATTGCTGGTCAGGAGGGAAACTTGGGATGTAATTTAAGACTTGCAGACCTCATGCGATGACTGTATAGGCCGAGCCTTTTTGACCTGACTCTGCTGGAAATGACCTCGCAGCTGGACACTGAGTTAAGTCTACGGGGCGGTCAAGGCGGGCGGCCACTACCCTTGGACCGCGTCTGGACGACTCACCTTGTTGAGCAGGAACAGCAGGGCTTCCCGAAGGCAGTTGTGCCTCATGTAGAAGCTGATGATGGCCAGGTTGGTGCCATAGTTGTGCAGGTAGAAGAGACACTCTTGGTAGTAGGTGTTGTTCATGATCTTTCCGTCAGGAATTACCTCGAGGGAGAGGCTCTGGGTTCGAAGGGTGGCTTCCAGTTCCCTCAGGGTGGCAAAGTAATCGTCATCCTGCTGGCAGGAAAAGAGGATGTGAGAGAAAAGGTGGAGAGCACTGAGTCTGCGCAGCTGCTAGAAGTGAGGCCCACGTGCCTCTGTGGGAAGCCTGAGGGACACTTAACACATTTAACAGGGTGGAGGAAAAATACTCCGGTTTTAAGAGTAGAAAAATAGGTAGGACACAAAATTCTCTACAATAGGGTACAACTCAAGTTTCATTCAAAAGCATAAACCCAAGAAATTTATTTCCATTTTTGTTGTTTATTGAGACAGTCTTCCTGTGTTATCCCATTTGGCTTTGAACTCCAGGGCTTAAGAAGTTAAGAAGCGGTTCTCCCTCTTCCAACGCCCCCTCGGCCCCCCAGCTTCCAAGCAGTGTGGACTATAGGCGTGCATCAGTAGGCCTGCCTCTCAACAAATCTTATCACTCGATGGGCTTGGCAGTGTACACAAGGCTGAGATCTAGGATTCATGAGTTCAAGGCTGTTCTGGATTATACAAAATAAAGCCAGGCACCGGGAGATGGCTCAGTGGTCAGAGGGCTTGCTGTGTGGCTGTGGACCACAGCACCCATGTCAAAGATGGCCTACTGGTGTGCATTTATCACCCAGTGTTCAGATAGGCAGATTCTAGGGGCTAGGGGCTGACCGGAGAGTTAGTCTACTGGGAACGGTGAGTGCCAGGTTGAGGGACAGACCCTGTTTGGGAAGCAAAGGAAGTGGAGTGCGGCAAGATGGGTCTGCCCGTAAAGGCATCTGAAACCAGCCTGACCTTTGAACTTGATCCTGGGAGCTCACTGGTGGGAGGCAAGAACTGACTCTGCAAGTTGTCCTCTGACCTCCATGAGTGGACGGGCTCACACACATACACACACTCAAAACAAATGTAAAGAGTGATAGAAGAAGGCTGCTAACAGCAGCCTCTGGCCTCCACACATGCACATATAGGTGAGTACATATGCACACACACGCATACACTACAATACACTCAATGCACAAAATGAAAAAATGAGCAGCCACCCGCCCACCTAAATTGAATATTAAAACTAAGTAATCTGGGTATGTGATTTTGACTTTTTTGTACCTCTATAGTTTCTTTTAAAATATTGACTTTGGGTTACTTATCTAACCATATAGTCACTTATTTAACTACACATCACACACACACACACACACACACACACACACACACACACACACACAC